TAAAGACATTTTTGTTAGGAACCACACTAACATAGTTCAGGTTCACAAGTGTTTGGGGCTTTTAATTTGAAACACTGGTAGAACTTGGAAAACTAGAGGAAGTTTTTCCTTTTCTCTTTCCTTAGTTATCAGCTGTTACAAAAGATTTTGACAAAACTGGCAATGTGTAACTATGTAGATATTCTTTTTGATTTGAGAAGAACCATATGTCTTATTTTTTACAAGTTATATTTATTTTTAAGTATCATTTGCTGTTATTTAACAATATTAAAGGAAATCTGTACTAAATACCAGATTGCTGGTGGCAAGTTGAAATTCTGTTACAAAATGTAAAAATCTCAATTTGCTCAGATGAGGGAGTATCCCAGTTCTGCATGCAAGACATTGCTCAGGTTTATGTCTTTTCAGATTAGAATTTGATCTTTCAAGCAACTGTTCATATCTGCTTTATTTTTCCCAGCGGCACTGTAACACAGCCATTGTCAAAGGCACTTTGGCAGGTTGAGTTGGAACATGGAGGAAGGAGTGAGTACCTTAGCAATCCCAGGGGCCTGGGGAAGGTTTCCTCGAGGAGGTGGTGCTGGGAAATCAAACGTTGAGGATTGTTGGGAAAGCATTCCAGGCTCGGAAGCATGGGGCATGGAGCACCAGAGAGCATGGCATTTCCAGAAAGTGAAGGTGATTTGTTATTCATCCACTCATTTAGCAAATAGTTATTGAAAAATTACTATGCACCAGATCCTGTTCAAGACACTAGCATTTATCTGGGCAGAAGGATCGCTGTGTATTCGAAGCCAGCCTGGGCTACATAGCGAGACTTTGTCTCAAAAAAAAAGACACTAGCATTTAACAGTGAACAAAACACACAAAGATACAAAGATCACTGTTCTTATGGAACCTACATTCTAGTGGGAAGAGACTGATAATACACAATAGTAAGTAAGTTCACATAGTGTATTAGTGGTAATAAGGGGAAATTTTAGTAGGAACAGTAATGGAGTAGGCAGATACCATTTTAGGTTAGTCAGAAAATCCTAAGAAGGCAACATTAGAATAAAGATCTGAAGCTGGTAAAGGAACCAGCAGAATGAATATCTGAGAATGCTGTGGGCGGAAGAAATGTGCAAAGGCCCTGAGGTTCAGGTGGGTATGGCTTATTCAAGAAAACCTTGGAAGGAGAGCATAGCTGCATATAGTAAAGGGAGAGGAACAGATGTGAGGTCAGAGAAACAGAGCCAGGCCTTATGAGGCCTCGTGAGGATTTTGGCATTTGTCTGTGTAAAATGGGGGAATGCCTGGAGCATTTTGGACAGAGTAAGATATAAGGAAGTTTTAAGATCACATTGCATTGAGGAGAGAGCCAGGAGATAGGGGCTGCTGCGATAAGGCAGGTGAGAGGGATGGTGGCATGGGCCAGGTTCGCCCTATAGGTAATGAACAGCCATTAAAGATATTTGATCAGTGGAATGACATAGGATGGTTACGTCAAGAAGATGATTTTGGCTACCACTCGGAGGAAGGACCGAGAGTTGAGACAAGGAGCTGGATTTGTTTCCAAAGCACCAATCACCAGGAGCAGGATAGAAATCTCACAAGAGAAACAGGCTCGTGCCTGAAGGCCCTGTGAGCCAACTTCTTGACAACTGATAGGAATAGAGAAGATTTACACACTTGGAAATTCCCTTGTAAGCTTTGCCAAGCAAGCAAGGTGAAAGATGAGTGCAAAGTTTATTCCAGAGGTGGCCACCTAGCAGATGACCACAGATCCTTGCCATGTGCCAGGCACCGTCACCATACTGCAGATGCACTGGCTTATGTAATCCTTCCCACAGCCCACAGTGGGTATAGTAACATGGGCTCCACTTCGTAGATGGCACAAAGCTGAGTTGCGTCTGAGGACAACTTCCCCTGCTTTCTGCTGAAAGGACTCAAGAAGGGATCCGAATTTTCTCATGGTCTTTAAAATGGAATGTAAAAATACAACCACTCATTCTCTTTGTGAGCTGTGGTGATGATGGCTTCAGACAGGTGGCCACTGCTGGACGGAAATATGCATTGTTTCAATGCTCTTTGACTTGCCAGTGACAGAAATTTGTTTATAAAACATAAATGGAGGTGAGTGGAATTGCAGGGAGCTGAGACATCCGGGGAAAGGAAGATGGGTAGGCTTGGGTGCAGGGGACATGGCCGAAAAGGCGTGGCAGGGTCTAGGTCTCAGGGGTGTGTTCTCTTCACCTCTGTGGTCCCACTGTTGATCTGGGTCTCTTCAGATGGCTTCTTCATAAGGTCGGAAGTTTTGGCTGTGTGCTGCTTCCGAGCAAACAGAATTCCGACTCATCTGGTCTTAGCCCCAAGGCCCAAGCCCAGGACCAGAGGTGCAGGGTGAGCCTCTCTGAAGACAGTTAAGGAACCTGGGGCCCTTGCTACGGGTTCCCTGTGGGACATAGTAGGTGTGGAGGTCATGATGTCATCCTAAAGTCACTGAGTTGCACACTGTGATGAGCTCATACCAGCATGACTGGTATCTCCTTGATAGCAGAGCTTTCCCCTGGATGCATAGAAAGAAAGTAGCATGTTCCAGAGTACTCCTGAATAGTATTTGGAGTTGGTTCTACCATACTTTGCCAGAAGATAGGTGGTGACCCGTTACTCTTCTGAGTTACCAACTTTAAAAATTTTTTTTTTTTTTTGGTACCAGGGATCAAACTCAGGACCTTACGCCTGTGAGGCAGGCGGCGGAACCACTGAGCTAAATCCCCGGCCCCTAAAACTTTTTTTTTTAAGAGATACGATCTCACTATGTTTCCCAGGCTGACTTGAAACTCCTGAGCTCAAGTGCTCCTCCTGACTTAGCCTTCTGAGTAGCTGGTACTACAGGCATGCAACACCATGCTCAGTAATACTTTGTTTGATTAACTTTTTGCAGTGATGAGGTTAGAACCCAGGACCTTGTATATGCCAGACAAGCACTCTACTAGCTACATCCTTTAGGGTTTACCAGCTTTTCTTAGAATACAAGTTCAGTCTGGACCTGCCTCGGGGGCTGGGAGGGGAAAGTGGCCAAACCCTGCTCAGAATCCATGCCGTCCCACATCACTGTTTTTCTTACATAATTTCTTTTTCCCTTGTCAAAGGAAATGATAATGGATGAGGAAAACAAGAGATAGCTTTAAAAAAAGCGTTCATCAACTTTTCTTTTTAACCTTAACCCAAATTTAAATATTGTGTTTTCATCATAGTCCCGTACTCGTGTACCTTTGCTCTCTTAACAAAACACTATATAATAAAACAATATTTACCCCTTACTAAATGCAATATACTCTAATCATTTCTGTTCATTTAAAATTCCATTTTAAAAAGGCGCAACCACTGTAAGTGCATTTCACAACCCACTAATGGCTGGTAACCCAGAGTTTAAACTTGTGAAAAGCAGCAGCAGTGGTGTATTAGTTTACTGAAACTGCCACAACAAAGTACATGAACCGTGTGGCTTAAATCAGAGCTCCCTCTGTCACAGTTATGAAACCTGAAGTCCAAGATCAAGAAATTAGTAGAGCAGGTTCCTTCTGAGGCCTGTAAGAATCCGGCGCTCACCTCTCCCTGGCCTCTCCAGTGTCTTGCTGGCAGTTGTTGCTGTTCTGTGGCTTGTGGCTGTATCACCCTGATACCTGCCTTCGCCCTCACATGGGGTTCTTGCAGTGTGTGTTTGTGTCCAGACTTACTCCTTCAAAGGCTTACCAGTGACCTGGGTGGGGCCCACTCTAGTATGACCTTGTCACAGCATCACTGATTATGTCTACAAGGACCCTACTCCCAGATAAGGTCATACCCTGTGGAACTGGAAGCTGGGACTTCAACATACAAATTTGGGGTCCAGGATACAAAATTGACGATAAATAATGGAAGGTCTCATTTTATTGAGCCCTAATTATGCGGCAGACTTTCAGCTGAGCATTTCGTTACATGACCGAAATGTTACCATCTTGTCCTATTAGTTGAGGAAGACAGAGCTAAAAGAGATGGAGACCTGGTCTCCTTGATTTCCAAGCTGTGCTTTTCCCCCCAGGTTCCTTATTGCGATTCCTGTTCACAGAAATGTCAAGGAGCCACTTGTGGTTATTCAGTCTGGATGGAAATGCTAAACACAGCTAGTAAATACCTACAAAATTGGGCCGAAGTGCATGGGAAGGCAGCCTTCTGCAAGGACTCACAGGTGCCAGGTCTGCATGGGTTACCTACTCACTCTCCAGGAAGGGAACACCAGTTAACCCTTGGCTTTGCCCACAGATCTGTCCCCAGCAGCAAGCGATTCTCAGCAATGCCAGCAACCAGCCAGACTCCCTCCCTTTGAGCTTCCCATTCTCATTCTGAATTTAGATCAGGGTGAAAAGTAGAGAGAAGGAAATGAGCCAGAAAATAGAAAATTAATACTTGGTAGAATCATCATATTTTAAAATTAATTTATAGGCAACGTCAGATAACAGGAGTTAAATCATTTTATCAGCAGGCCACTCTAGGATTTAAAAATTGGCATCCATCACTGTAAATCAGGTCTTCAGAGCCCCAGGGAATAGTCTCTAGGGATGAGGGTTGATATAGGATGGGCAGAAATGTAAATACTTGATTAGCTGTGTCCTCTTCTTTCACACAGAACCTAAAATACTTCTTCATCACACTGAGGGATAATGGTATGTTAAATAGTAATGAGCGGACGAAGCTATTCAGGGTTATGATTAGCCTACTTTTAAAGTTTGATCTTCCTCCCCGTCAATCCCAGGAAACTGGTGTGTGAGAGCTGCTTGTTTCAGGGTGGTGTTGCTTGTTCACGATTCTAGGGCCGGCTTCACCCCCTTCTGCAGAGACCCACTTTCCCCAGAGGTTTGGAAGCTGTACTTCTGCCCTGGCCTGTGAGCAGGAGCACCCTTGGGTTTGCCACAGTTGTCCTGGGAGCGGCTTGCTTCTGTGATTAAAGACCTACCTTTCATCTCCTGTCATTGCAGCTCTCTGCCGAGGGCGAGTGGTGAGAGTCCCCGCGGGGACCCTAGTCCGAGTGGTAGGGACTGAGCTGGTCATCCCCTGCAATGTCAGCGACTACGATGGCCCCAGCGAACAGAACTTCGACTGGAGCTTCTCATCTTCGGGGAGCAGCTTCGTGGAGCTCGCGAGCACCTGGGAGGCCAGCTTCCCTGCCCAGCTGTACCAGGAGCGGCTGCAAAGGGGCGAGATCCTGTTAAGGAGAACCGCCAATGATGCTGTGGAGCTGCACATAAAGAACGTGCAGCCCTTGGACCAAGGCCACTACAAGTGCTCAACCCCCAGCACAGACGCCACTGTCCAGGGCAATTATGAGGACACGGTGCAGGTCAAAGGTACTGTGCTCACATGGGGTCGCTGTGCTGGGCCAGTCCTTCCTCTGCCATCGCCGTGGGTCACTTTGTCGGGAACCCTAACCCCTGTCCAGTGGAGTAATAGCGTCTCACCCGATTAAGAGGGTGGGCCGGTGCCCTCTGCGTGCCTTTCCTCTTCTCTCCGTTATGCTTCTGAAACATCCCACGGCCAGGAAGTTGGAGGCAGCACAGAGTGGTGACCCAGAGCTCCACTCTGGAGCCGAGCTGCCTGGACTCAGTCTGGTTGCCAGCCCTGCCACTTGTCGGCCATGTGGCCATGAGCGTGTTTCAGGCCCATCTTCCTCCTCAGTGCCAGAGTACTTACCTTAAAGGCTATGCGGCCAGGAGAGTCCCCCGTGAGCCAGGCCTGAGAGCAGTGCCTAGCAAGCTTTCTCAGGTTCATGGGAGGAAGGTGATGGTCATGATAGTGGTGCTGCGGTTTATGGGAGAAGCAGGTGCTATAAAGTTCATCTTTCTTTGTGGCTTTCATGATTCAAGAACCTGTTCATGCCGGAATAAGTTTGTGCTACATATAGAGAGAGAACAGCACGGTCACTGCTAAGTTTATTGGCCTGGCTATGCAAATAATAACATCTGTTGTATGTGGAATGTCTTGGATTTTGTTTTTGTTGTTGTTTTGTGTGTCTGTTACTGGGGACTGAGCCCAGGGCCTTTGCACCACCCTTTTGAGTTTCTTTTTTAAAGACAGGATCTCCCTAAGTTCCCCAGGCTGGGCTTGAACTTAAGATCCTCCTGCCTCAGCCTCCCAGAGTATTATTTTTCCTATTGTCCTTTTAGACTAACTAAACATTCAATTCTCTGAACCAAGTGAAGAAGATAGGGCAAAATATTTCCCTAATTTACACATGTGGAAATAGAAGAGCACAGGTTAATTACTTGCCCCAAATCACACAGCTAATTAATAATTGAGCAAGAATGAACCAATTTGAGGCTGACAAAATAGAAACATTATTATTATTATTACTTTTATGCATTTATGTGTGCTCTGCCTTGTTCCCCAAATGATTGATATCTGGGTAGGAATGTATGTAATTCTCAGGAAAGTAGAAAATATACAAGATGCTATAAAAAGAGAAGGTTGATCTAGCCATTCATTGCTACTGAAATGTTTGGTAGGACCTACCATATTTCAAATCCTGTTACTCACTAGAGAGTCATAAGGGGTAAAACAGCGTTCCATCAAGTAGGTAATAAAGCACTAACACATCACATCTACCTCGTCCATACTCCTATAGAAAGTCTTGAAGGTGTTTTTTAGAAAAAGTAATCCAAAAAGATATCCTTCCTGTAGAATTAATGCAACGTATCACCCTCCATCGGGTTGGATGCACCCTTGTCTCCCCTGTGATTCTCACGAGGGACGAGAGGGTGGCAGGAGAAGCAGGGAGGGTTTTCTTGGCTCAGGAATGCAGATGCATGACCAGGAGAGACTGGCTGGCTGCCCTGGGGAGCCTCTGGCAGATGCTGCCTTGGCCCAGTGTCTGTCTGGCCTTAGCTTCATGGGTCTTGAAACTGTTCGTCCACGGCCCAAGACATGAACTGGCCTTGAGAACTGAGTCAGGTTAGCCAGGCCCCCAGACCACTGTACATACTCGAAGGTCACCATATTCATTCCACACGAGGGCTGGATCTTTGAGGTGCAGCAGTTTTAAAGTAATCCCTTCTCAAGAACACTGAATTTGTTTCTGAATGAGGAATTGAGAAAAACCCAAAGAGAGGATGAATCCTGCTGCTTGAGAATTCTCTTCTCCAGCTCATGGATAATCCCTGGCCGTTGCTAGAGGCCCCTCTCCGGTTACCAGAATCTGTTGCTTATCATGTCTCTTCCAGAATAGCTCTCGCTGACACTTCCTTGATCTCTGGTGCCCTTTTCTAGACTCTGGAAGTCCTTCTTCCAGTAGGCCCTAACAGCGCACGGCTGAGCCTTCACTTCCGGTGGCCAGGTCCCACCTCATGGATGCCCTCCACTCGCCCTGCTTGCTCTCCGGCAGGCCTCAGGTCAGGAGCCACAGGCAACTCCTGTCGTCCTTTGCCCCCTGCCAGTCCAGTTGCTTTAACCCTTAGAAAGTTGCCTCATCCGCAGGCTCTGGGCTCTCTGCTCCATCCCTGTGGCTGACAGGCATTTTCTCCTGATGCTTTTTAACTTTTGAACTCACATATTGCCTCCATGAAGAAGGTCCAGTTGTCGTCCCCTTTTTGGGAAACGGAGGCACAGAGGGGTAAAGTAACTTGGCCCAGGGTGACAAAGCACATCCTCAAAGCTCAGCTCCCACACTGGGAGTTTTCATTCACTACACCCCGTTCTAGCAGGGGGTTTTATTAGTGCCTTTCCCCCTCTCCCTCCCCCCCCCGCCCTCCTCCTCCTCCCCCTTCTCCTCTCTTCTGTCTTTTCTCCTTTTCATTCATTTGTTTTGGCTTTTTCAAGTTGGAAAAGCCATTTGAGATGATACATGGGTCCAAATGGAAAGATGAGCCCATGTGGGCATCAGAACAGGGCACAGTGGGGAGTAGTCTTGGGGCACAGCTGTGGGCTTGGCTCAAGGCCGGAGTCCTGGCAGGTGGCCCGCCAGTGCCAGGTGGGATTGGCCGGCGTGAGGCTGCGGACTGACTGTGCTCTCTGTGTCCCCGCAGTGCTGGCCGACGCCCTGCTCGTGGGCCCGAGCGCAAGGCCACCGCCCAGCCTGAGCCTGCGTGAGGGAGAGCCCTTCGAGGTGCGCTGCGCCGCTGCCTCCAACTCGCAGCTGCACACGCACCTGGCCCTGCTGTGGGAGCTGCACCGTGGCCCGGCGCACAGGGCCGTCGTTGCGCTCACCCACGAGGGCAGGTTCCGCCCGGGCCCTGGCTACGAGCAGCGCTACCACAGCGGGGATGTGCGGCTGGACACGGCGGGCGCCGACGCCTACCGCCTCTCCGTGGCCCACGCGCTGTCCGCCGACCAGGGCTCCTACAGGTGTGTGGTCAGCGAGTGGATCGCCGAGCAGGGATACTGGCAAGAGATCCAGGAAAAGGCCGTGGAGGTTGCCACCGTGGTGATCCAGCCCACAGGTGAGCTTCCGGAAACGGGAAACGGTGTCTTACACGCGGGTCTCACGCTGTGACCAGTGACGGTGTAACCATCTAGGCGAGGGAGCCCCATCTTTTCTGACAGATCCATTTGTCTCACCTGTGAGTCTCCCTCGGGGTGGAGGGAGTAGGATAGTGGTGATAGTTTAGGGACGGGTGCATCTGTTTGGGCTGAATGCCTGTAGTTTGTGCGGCATTTGCATTTATCTGAAATTGGTCCCAAGTTCCTGAGCACTTTCTGTCTCTTAAAGATGGAGAACATAGTTCCTGTCAGAATGGTATCCTGCCTGGTGCTCCAGGGGCATTTGGGGTTGGGGGGGGGGGGATCTACCCACACTTGTTGCCTTATTTTTTTTAATTAATGTATTTATTTATTCTTATTTATTTTGTGGTACTTGGGATTGAACCCAATGCCTTCACATTGAGCTACATCCCCAGTCCTTTTTATTTTTCGAGACAGGGTCTCAATAAGATGGGCTCAAACTTAGGATGCCCCTGCCTGAGCCTCTCAGGATGCTGAGATTATATTATAGGCATGCACCACCATGCCTGGCTGTTAGCTCTGTCTGGTGTTTCCTAAGTCCCTGAATCTGCCTTTCCCCACAACTTCTGGAATGTGTGTCTGGCTTACCCCAAACCTCTGGTCTAACTTGCATCTTCTAGGCCTGCTTTGGGGGGGGGGGGTCCCCCAGGGGCACCATCCCGTCAGGAGGGGCTTTTGAGGGCTGAGCCTTCTGTAGCTTCCTAGAGTGAATATCCCCGAGGAGCATACAGACCTGGGGTCTGTACAGGAAGTCTTTCGTCCTATCATCTGTTAGTCTGCCTTTTTGCTTAAACCTTCCCTCCAATTTCAGAATTAAGAAAATAGAAAACACACAAAAACAGGTGAAAAACAAATATGAAAAGCCATCGTTGACTCACTGTTTAGTAAGCTTCAGTGGAGAACCCACTGGGCTGGGCTCTGGGGCTCCTCAGACCCTGTGAGGCTTACAGCTTTGGCAGAGGCAGAGAGAAGAGACTGTCAGAGGGTGATGTCCTTCTTGGGGACGGACAGATGCACTTGGTTTTCTGAGAGTCCAGCATCTTCCCAGAGTAGTTTGCTGTCATGACTGCTGCCTCCTGTTTTTTAAATGGGGAAGACCTTGGCTGGACTCATTTCCTGAGCAGGAATGTGAGTGTGTGGCCACTTTGTTCCTCATATGGGAAGGAAAGCAGAAAACAATAAGCACAGGAAGGGTTTTGTCCCCACCATCTTCATTGTGCTGACTCGCCTCTGCATTTACACCACTGCACTAGAGCTAGATTTGGTAGAAGTGAATGTGAAAAGCAGGACTGAGCTTTATGAGTGCTTTGTGGAGGAGAGGAGCTGTTCATCATGCTCAGTGTGGGCTCCTCCACTGGCTGCAAAAGTCACTTTTCAGATGCATGCAGGTCACCTTCCTTAGCAGAAGAGATCTGTCTAGAATACGTACCCGATGGAACCTGCAGCTATTCAGCTTGCTGATCAAACAGCTATTTTAATGAGTCAGGAGGGCCAAGAGTTCCAGTTTCACAGCAAATTAACCATTTTATGCAGAAATTTCAATTGTAAAGGTGGTTTTATTATTATTACTATTTCAAACACACCACAAAACCCATAGTAATATCTAGTTATAAGACTGGAACGCTCTGGGCCTATTAGGCAGGTAATAATGTCTAGCTCTTACCTGAGACTGGGGATGCACAATCTTTTTTGTGCTGTTGGCCTCTTTGATGCTCTTTTGAAGCCCATAGATCCTTTCTCAAAATTAGTATGTTTCAATTCATAAAGTACAATACATGAAATGACAAAGAGAAACAATTATGTTGAAGTAATTATCAACATATTTTAAGACAAATTTGTTTCATAGTAATGCTATGCTTCTTTATTAACACGTTAATAATAAGACATAACAGGAGGCCTAAGAACTACTGTAATTTTTGTGTAGTAATGAATATAAATGACGTTTCAGGGTATATGCAACAACTATAATGTGATGGGAAAATATCTATGATTTCTATTGGGGGCGAAATCCCAAGAACATGATTTCACCATGAGAGGAGATGCTGTATTTTAGGGAAGGTTAATAAAAATAAAGATGGACTGTTTTTTCCCACCTGTGCTCACAGAGTCCCTACATTCTCTTTGGAGACTCCAGGTTAAGAATCACTGCACTGTGGTGGTTATGGTCATTTTTTTCTTATCAGCACCTGCACTCTCCATTGCTGCTCCTATACTTTGATTGCCCTGTTGTCATAAATGATACAGAACCACTGAGACAGCAAAGCTGGGTTACCTGTGTGGTAGTGTTCCACCCCTCTTCTTCATAGGAGTGGCTGATACAAATCTTGGTGTCTAATTTATGAGTTCAGTTATATTATGCGTCTGCATCACCACAGGCTTTGTCTGAGTCCCCTCTTGCATTAACAGTCCTAACACTGGTTCTGTTTTTCCCTTCACCCTGCTCTATCCTGTCTCCCAGTGGTAAGCCCCCAAATCCAGAACGTTTAAGGCCTGTGTTTAGTAAAGTGGCAAGATATTAATCTACTTGTACAAAGAAAATGACATAGTGAGCTACGCATTTGAATAGACATTTCTGCCAATATTTCCAGAAACTAAGAATCCATTTTTACCATATGTGCAGTCCACAGCCACATATTGGATGTTTCTTCACAGACCTGACATCCTCCTGAATCATCTTTTATCTCCAGTAGCTGATGGCCTGACAGACACAGGTCCAGCAGATTTCAGGGTCTGTGACCAGAAGCATTAGAGGAGAGGTGATTCAGTCATTAGGTGTGGGCTCAGGGTGGCAGCATCCATGAATCCTCTCAGATTACTTTTGAACCCTTTAAAGAGGTAGGAGGAGAAAGCATTTGGAAGGTGGATGGAGGGTGAGATTGGATTTTTAAATCCCTTTTTCTGATGCTGTGCCCACCTCACTTTCCCTCATCTGTCAGAGTGGATTTTGAAGTTGGCTTGACACACCTGATTGAAATATTGACAGTTTTTGGAAATATCCATATGGAAGTGATGTACACCCCGCAAAGGGCGTGGGCTTGGGGTTGGATGTCAGCTTTGTCCTCTAGAGCTTCCTGGGGACAGGAGTTGATCCTGAATGATTCTTGCTAGACCAGGGCTGTGCCTCCTCTTAAATCCCCTGCAAGATGTTGGCTATTTATTATCTAAGTAATTGTTCCCAGAGCATTATCACAAGTTGTATGTTTTCTACTCAGATTACAGATGTTCAGCTTCATTTTTAAAAACCCACTGAGTAGAGCAAAATGATTCCACATAAAAAGCTTTGACAGGGGATGCTAAAACTAGATCTGCCTTGAGTCCATGACACCAAATACTTAAGTGCTTTATCTAAATATAATCTTCTTTTTAATTACCCACACTAATGAGAGAGGGCAGTACATGGATAATTCAAAAGTCATTGTGTTTGGGTTTTAGAATATTATTTCATGATTGAGTTTAGGTGGGCATTTCTAATGAAATAAATGATGCCCTCAGTACATTATATTTTGAAGAATTGACTCATCAGGAAAATTGTCTGGTTTCACTTTCCTGGTTTTCCTGTCTTTTTAGGATTTTCTATGGGTTTTTTTTTTTTCAAATTTTCTTTTTTCCTTCCTTCCTTCCTTCCTTCCTTCCTTCCTTCCTTCCTTCCTTGTTATTGTGCTGGGGTTTAAACCCAGGATCTTTCACATTCTAGGCAAGTAATCTGCCACTGGGTTACATCCCTAGCCAAGAAGCATTTACTTTTGTCCCAAAAGTAATTTTACTGTCGCTTCCTGCCTTTCATTCCCCAGCCCCAAACTGACATTATTTTTATAAAATCACTGTAGTTTTACCTTGCACATAGAAAAACTATAAGGTTAGTCTTGTGATGTTCAGTAAACTTCTTATCAAACTGTAGTGTAATAGTTAACAGAATTCCTAGAGGCAGGCAGTCTGGATTTGCATCCCAGCTGTGTCACACATTAGCTGTGTGACCTGGGGCAGGTTACTTAACTTCTCTTTGCTTCAGTTTCCTTATCAGTAAAATAATAGCAGCACCTACCTAATAGGATTATTTTGAGGATTAACATTTATAAAGAACTCAGAACACTGCCTAGCATATAGAGTAAGTGTATATAAATATTTGCTACTCTATTTTTTTGAGATTAAAAAGAAATGTGAATTTATTCAGTAAGTATTTCTCAGACACCTACAAGGATATACAAAGTTTTCTCATTTTAATGGCAGAAATGAGAACGCAAAAGGAGCTGAGCAAAAGGGAGACAGGGTGGGAATTGAAGATGGAAGGAACAAACATAATCCACTGTACTTAGATGTATTTGCTTTTTATTTTCAAGTTCTGCGAGTAGCGGTGGCCAGGAATGTGTCAGTGGCTGAAGGAAAGGAACTCGACCTGCCCTGCAACATCACCACGGACCGCATGGATGACGTCCGGCCCGAGCTGACGTGGTTCTTCAGCAGGACGCCCGACAGCACCTTGCCTGCCCGCCATGTGTTGGCGCGACTGGACCGTGACTCCCTGGTGCACAGCTCCCCTCACATCGCTGTGAGTCATGTGGATGCACGCTCCTACCACTTACTGGTTCGAGATGTTAGCAAGGAAAACTCCGGCTACTATTTCTGCCATGTGGCACTCTGGACACCAGGACACAACCGGAGCTGGCACAAGGTGGCAGAGGCCATGTCTGCCCCAGCCAGCGTGGGTGTGATGTGGCTAGGTGAGTGATTTGCAGAATGGCTCTTAGCCTTCCCACTTAATCCCTACTCAAGCTATCTGGAGGAGTCTGGGTGCTGGGCGTTTGCATTATTTAGATGTTCTTTGTATGGGACAAGGGTACTTGAGCTCAGATAGATCCCAAGCTGGAGATGAGATTCTAAAATAGAATCTTGCAGAAAGGGGAAATGTTTCGATAATGTGGCCTTGGTTGTCTCTACACCCACATGTGAGAGGATGTAGTTTCCTTTTCTTGCAGACATTTGCAGGTGCGAGCTCTGCTGAATGGCTCTTTGAAATGGATCTTTGTTAGAGGGAGGGCACTGCCCTTTTCCCTCTCTTCTCCCTAGACTCCTAGGTGCTTCCTGGCAGGAGCAAGTGCTTTGCAAAGCCCAATGCAGAAAGAGAATTCCTTCAGCTAGCAGAAGGTGGTTGTTTTGTTTTTTTAACCTAATGCCGTAAAATCCCAAAATGATTTTATTTGCAGATGCCAGTTACATGTAGAGGCCTTCCTGCTTCCCTGAGCTCTTCTTGGGCAATCTCCCAGCCCAGGCACAACACCAAGAGGGAGCAGCAGACTCACTCATTTCAGAGCAACTTGTCATCTATGTGAAGGTCATTGGTGTGCGCTCCTGTTGTGTGTAAAGGTCATTCGCAGGAGCTCTTGTTTTCTCCATTTTTTTTTTTCTACGTATTAGCCTACTGGAAAAAATGTATGCTAGCTTTTCCAGATTTTTGTGAATGGCCGAAATCATAAGTAAATTTAGAAGGGGTGGAATCAAGTGGGGTATAGAGAGCCTCATTTCCCACTGACATTATTACTGTGATGTAATGGGCCCACATTTGGGCTCTTTCCTGTTTTGAGTACCATCTCTCTTCTATTCCATAAGTGCTTAGGGCCTAATACAGCATTTGATGTTGCTTCAATTATTAGGAGCCAAAACAGATCTTTAAAGACCAGGAAGTGATTTCCTGCTTTGATGCTGCACTTTCTCCTGCCATGACATGCAGCTCCTACTTAGCTCTTCCTTGTCTCTGCATGAAAATATTTTGTTGGGTTAGTGGTGCATTTGCTGTCTGTTTGTCCCTAATAAACCTTTATTTGGCAAAGATGGGGATTTGGCAAGTGGGGACAGAGCGGGCAGGGAGAAGAGTAGTAAGAGTAAGCAGCAAAAGCAAAAGGGACGGTCCAATTGCAGTTGAGACTAGGCGGGGTGTTAGTCATCCCTGTTAGCAAAGTGATCTTTTGATATCTGCAAAGTAAAAGGAGCAAGGTTTATCTGGTGAGCTTTTATTCCTGCCGTCTGAACCTTGTGCAAGACTCACTCTGAAGTACTGAACTGGAACAATGTTGGCCCAGCTAGAACTCTCCTTAGCAACCTTCAAAATAAAACAGATGTTGTCAGCACTGAAAGATTTTTCATCTCTGGAGCTGAATTTGTCTCACAGCTCTGATCCTCAGTGCATTGTGTGGCACCGTCAAATCCCTGTGCTGGCTCTCCTTTTCCCTTCCCTCCTCCTCCAACTTCTGAATCCCAGCTCGAGGATTTTTTTTTTTTTTTTGAAAGTGCTGCCTGCACTCCAATTTGAGGGCTTCTTTGAAGTACTCCTGTATTGATCCCGGCATGCCTCGGGGAAGGTTCAGGGACTGTCAGACACCAGGAGGGGAGCTCTGGGGGGGAGTGGGTTCTTTTAACTGGAAGGGATTTGTTGGTGGCTGTGTTCTCCAGAGAGTGAGAAGAAATAAAGAAGCTAAATTGTGGAAAAGGCTCCGTTATTATCCTAAGGATCCTGTCAGTGTTTTCCTGTGGAGTGCCAGCACCATTGTCATCAGTCATCAGTGTGCTTTTCCCTGACTGGAAAAAGCAATGTACACAGCACCCCAAACCTTCCTCAAAGCTTTGCACAGACTAGGTACTCAATAAATATTGGCTGAATGGGTAAATATACTGGGACCATGGTAATGTTAAAATATGTGCATAGGAAAACCAGAATTGCAAATAGTCACGTTCAAATTGTAGAATATTCAGAGATACTTGCACATGAGCAAACTACTAGGAGGGTGTTATAAAAACAACTGTACTTTTCCCTTTTCTTCCTCTTAAATCTGCTCTCTCTTCCCTGTGCCTATGACTCACAGCCTGCAGCTGCTTGGACACTTGTCAGGAGACCAGTTGAGCATGAGTTCGGTTGCAGACACTTAGTCAGGACCTCCACACTACATTCTCTGCCCAGAAGCTGAAATGCCTGTCCCAACCCTAAACAGTTGTCTCTGGAAATGGAACGAGCATTATGTGCATATGCATTCTTTGCCAGATACAGCTGGGGTCTCCATGAAGTAACAGAGAAGTAACCAGAAAGAAAACAAAACAGGAATATAGGTGGCTTGCCAAACACAAGTTCATCTCAGGTTCTATGACTACATAATGTCACAGAAGCATTCTTAAGAAAGCTGGATCCCCATACAAGTGTAACTCAAAATTCAGTTTTGTCACATGTCAGATCAACAATAATAATTACAATTTATTGAGAATTTACTGTGTGGCAGGCACTAGGCTAGGAACTTTATGTGTATTAAATATTTAATCCAATCAGGTGCTGTCTCTTTACCCTATCTGAAAACCACTCTTTTGTATTTTGCTTATAATCTTAAGGATCAGGAATTAGGGAAGAACTCAGTTGGGTTCTTCTCTAGTGCACATAGTGACAGCTGGGACATCTAGGGCTAGGGATTGCCTTCTAGATGGCTTCTTGTAGACGTTCACCTTGATCTTAGGCTTGAACTTCTCTCAGAAAAGTCTCAGGGTTTTCACATTCTTATTTGGTGGCTGCTGCCTTCTAAGAGGCAGGAAATAGAAGTTGTTGGACAATTGAAAGCAGTGCCTGAGACCAGTACTTTATCGCTGCTACTGTGTTCTACTAGTCAGAGCCATCCAGAGGCCACCCCAGCCAAAGGGTTGGAAGAGACCCCTTCCCTGTGATGTAGCTACCCAGAGGCTCCTTAAATGGCTGAAAGGTCACAGGGAAGAAGGCCATGCAGAATGGGAAATGCTACAGCCACTGTTAGAAAACAGTCACCCACAGTGGACGATACTTTATTTCAAAAGAGATCTTTAGAGTGGTTTGGAGCAAATTACGGCCCATGGTCAAGTCTGTTCTCAGTGTTTTCATCTTTATGGAAACATCTTTGGCCTTGAAAATCAGCTTGGCTCCTGAGATGCCAGAGCAGAGTCTGAGGAGCTGGCAGTCCTTGTCCTTGGCTCAACCTCAGTGTTCTGAGGTGGATACGTGGCTAAAGCTGCTTGGGGTCTGCTTGAGTTAACTGGGAAGACATAAGGGCAGGATTGTGAGCAGGCCTGACAAATCAAAGACTGATTGTAGCATGGGGAGGATTGTGATGATTTTTTTAAAAGGTGAAAAAAAAAAGCCTCTTGCTTAGGATGTACCTCCTACTTTGAAAGAGAAAAAGATTTACATTTGCTTGCAAAATGAAGCACAATGCGGGAGACATAAAAATAAAATCAAGATCAAAGGGGTAAAAAGAAATTCTAAGAGTAGATATTGCAAGGTGGTTGGGATAAATGAGTGGCTGAATTTGCCTCTGAAGTTTTGAAGAGTCGAGACAAAAAGAGTCATGATTATGCAGTTCTCTGAAGAAAGAAAACAGAAATTCTTTGAGAAAGACAAACTTTTTCTTGGCACTGAATTTATCATGTATGTGCTTTTTCATTCCAGGGACATTGGATAACATAATGCACAGTGTTTTTGACTGTTCTTTTACAAAAGGCCCTAAATGATTGTTTAAATGGATGTTTCTTACATCCACTCGCTATAAAAGCTGAGGGCATAAATCTTGAGTGTGTGAAGGCATTTCTTCAAGAAGCTGAATTACTATGGGGGACAAATGCTGCTTTGTGTTGATCCAATTTAGTGTATGGCTAAAGCTCAGCCTGGTTAATCTGCACATTAAGTCATCTCTCTCTGCTATCAGATGTCTTAAATGAGCCTTTGGCAAGAGTTGGATACTAAGCAGCTCATGATTGCTCTCTCTGCCTAAAGTACCAGATTTCTGAGGTGTTAATTGGAGAGGGTTCCGCAGGCTTCAGATGGGTGGGGGAGGCAGAGCTGAACTGTACTGTTCAGTCTTAAGAACCTCATTAGCATGCTTCCCCACTGAAGCACTGTCCCCTCTCCTAGCAGTGCCAGCAAAGAAGGTAATTATTTTTCTTTAAAAGTAGTTGTTAATCTGCTAAGTACGTAGCAGAAACCTCAGAGTTTTATGCCATCCATAAGAGATAATATTCAGATCTATAGAGTTTTTTAGGGTGCTGTCTGTCTAGGGTTATTCCTGAAAGCAGAATAGCATGTGGCCAAGCATTGGATCTGGGGAGACCTGTGTTGAATCCCACTCTACCACCTTCTAGGTGTGTGGTTTTGGGTGTGTTGTTTAACATTTCTAATCTTTGGTTTTCTTGGAATAGTAGGATAGTGCATATAAAGTGCTTAGCACAGTACCTAACATGTCAGTGCTCAGTACATTCTTTTGGTGATGATCATGATTTATTAGTGTTTGAAGGTCTTCTCTACCAAGTTCTTAAGCAGGAGACATAGGAATGTGTCTTAGAACATGGAGGAACTAGGAATGTGTGTGTCCTGGAAGCAGCTACTCCCAAGGGAGCTAGGGAAAGGGCTGAATTGACCACACTCAATCCTTTCCTGCCCAACTAGCATATCTGGAAATTTATTGTTCCTCCTGTGGGAAAGTAAGTGAGGATGAAGAGAGAATAACCACTTACTTTGGGTGTAGGACATAGGTGTTCCATCCAAATGATGGTATTTTGGCTGCTCGTCAGTGCTGAGTGCTTCTTCATGATTGTGGCTCTGCTGTGATGGGCATAAGTGCCGAGAACAGTAGTTCCTTATTTATAGTCATCTCTGTTGGAGAATATTTAATTGTTATAAAATGATGATTATGGCAACTGAAGGACAATTGGTCCATATACT